TGACAGTGCTTCTTTTTGTTAGTGGACATTTTAAAAAGTTGTTGATCAAGAAATGCCATGCAATCTGAAGAAAGGAAAAGCAAGTTATGCTATGAAAGATGCTATGTGCTTCAACCAATCAAACTAGAAGAGCAGTTCTCAGAGTTGTTAACTTTATGCCAATACATGTTCCATATACTGGCTCATAATGTTATTGCTGAGAGCGATTTCTCATTAATGAGTGTTCAATGGCCAAGAACAAAATAAGTTGGATGTGACCACTACAGAAACCACATTAAAATGTAAATGGACTCAGACTGTAACTTGGAGGGATTTTATAAGGAAATTCTGCAAAATGGGGAACTATTAAGGAGAGGCAAATCACCTGGGAAATACAATAAAAGGCTTATAATTTAATTTAGGTAAACAACAAATATGACTTTAGTATAAGTATGTCTCATGCAATATTTTTCTTTTATCTCCAAATCCATATGCGTAGGCAATTAGAAATAATTCTAATTTAACTGGGTGCCCTGTGTTTTTATTTCTTAAATTTGGAAACACTACTCCTACAGCTTCTGTGCCTACCCCGCTACCTTTGGTCATATTTGTCTGTAATGCCCCCTCCTTCTCTTCAACGACCAAATCCTAATTCTCTCTCAAGGCCCACCTCAAAACTCTAGTAATAATTATAACAACCCTTAGTAATGCTAACTCTGTGCCAGGCACTGTTCTAAGTGCCTTACATGTGTTAATCATTTATTCCTTCCTGAGGTAATTACTCTTGGTAATAATAGGACATACTATAAGGAAGATACTAGTTTTCCTATTTTATGCACAAAGCAATTCGGGCACAAAGAAATTAAGTGACTTACCAGAAGTTATCCAGTCAGTAAGGGGTAGGGCCAGGATTCAAAGCCAGACAGCATGGCTCTGGAGTCTATTCCTGGATATGCCACCCACGTCTGTCTGGCTCTGCTCTATATTGCTCTTTTGGAGCTCTGACATGCTTCCCCATTTTACGTTTGAACCACGCAATCATGCAGTTTATTATATTGTCTTTACCTGGCGAAGGAGCCTAAAATTACTAAATTTGTGCTCATTCTCCCCTTTAAAAGGAATTCTGCAATAGCCAAGAGGTGGAAACAACCCGACTGTTCATGAACAGATGAATGAATAAACCAAATGTGGTATATACACACACTGGAATAATTTTCAGCCCTTAAAAGGAAGTTCTGACACATGATGCAACATGGATGAACCTTGAGAACATGCTAAGTGAAATAAACCAGCCACAAAAGACAACTATTGTATGATTCCACATATAAAAGGTATCTGGAGTAATTAAATTCACAGAGAGAAAGTAGAATGGTGGTTGTGAAGTACTGGGGAAAGGAGGAAATGGAGGAATTGGTGTTTACTGGGTTTAGAATTTCGACTTTTCGAGATGAAAAAGTTCTGGAAACTGGTCGTACAACCATATGCATATACTTAACACTACTGAACTGTACACTTAAAAATGATTAAGTCACACCTGTCAGAATGGCTATCATCGATAAATCAAAGAACAAAAAGTGTTGGTGAGGATCTGTAGAAAAGGGAACCCACATACATTGTTGGTGGGATTGCAAACTGGTATAGGCATTATGGCAATTGCTCAATAAATAGCAGTTATTAGATTGAACTGTATACATTGCCATTTTTCTGCATCAAAACTTAAATATTGGTAATTTTACATAGTTTAACATAATAGTATTATTTTTTCCACCAGTTATTTTCAAAGAAACAGTCCAGCAAACAAAAAACAATTAGAATTGTTGTTAATGCCTCTAGACTAATCACGTTAATGAGGATCCAAATCGGAACTGGAGGTCCCTCAAAAAATTAAAAATGGACCTACCTTTTCATCCAGCAATTACACTTCTGGGTGTTTACCCAAAGAAAACCAAAACAATAATTTGTAAAGATCTATGCACCCCTATGTTCATGGCAGCACTATTTAAAATAACCAAGATATGGAAGCAACCTAAATGCCTATCAATGGATGATTGGATAAAGAAGTTATGGTTCATATATACAATAGAATGTTACTCAGCCATAAAAAAAAAAAATCCTATCATTTGCAACAACATGGATGGACCTAGAGATGATTATGCTGAGTGAAATAAGTCAGATAGAGAAAGATAAATACCATATGATTTCATTGATACGAGGAATCTCAGGAACATAAAGAACAAATGAATTGAAAACAGATCCACAAATATAGAGGATAACTGGATGATGGCCAGAGGAGGCTGGGAGTGAAAGTGGTGAAGGCTTAAAGAAGTACAAATTAGTAGTTGATAGAGAGTCACAGGGGATGGGGAGCACAGTATAGGGAATGCAGTCAGCAGTAATTTAATGACTAGGTGTAGAGCCCGAGGGAAGATAAGAGTAGTCAGGGGGGTTGTTTCATAAACTCTGTAAATGTATAACCAATGTACTGTATACTTGAAACTAATTTAAAAAATTATTAAGACAGTAAGTTTTCATGTTATGTGCTTTTTGCCGTAATTAAATTTTTTTAAAAAAGTAAAAAGGAATTTTGCCTTTGCCCCCTCAGCTTCTCCCCCTATCTTCTGCTCTCTAAGAAGCCAGTTTTTGACACTTTCCTGTATGGGTTGTTGAGATGAGAAAGACAGAGGGACAACTGAGAAGCCAAACCAAGGCATCTGCATCGAAAAGGACTGAGAGAAATGAACTATAAGGAAGAGGAGAATGGAGCTAAGCTGAAGAAAGGGCAAGGCGGGAATTCCCTGGGGCTTGTTATGTGGGGTATGGTGTTGAGGCAAAGAGATTTTCTAGTTAGTGCAGAATGAACATGGCGAAGGGTTGCCTGGTAGCAGGAAGAGGAATGATGCAAGAAGGATTTTAAGAGAAGCTCCGAGTTCTGATTTGGATCCTCATTAACGTGATTGGTCTAGAGGCATTAACAACAATTCTAATTGTTTTTTGTTTGCTGGACGGTTTCTTTGAAAATAACTGGTGGAAAAAATAATACTATTATGTTAAACTATGTAAAATTACCAATATTTAAGTTTTGATGCAGAAAAATGGCAATGTATACGGTTCAATCTAATAACTGCTATTTATTGAGCAATTGCCATGTATCAGGCCCAGTTCCAAATGCTTTACCAAAGTCAACTTATTTAAATCTCATAACAGCCCTATGACGTAGCTACTATTATTATCCCTATTTTGTAATTGAGGAAACTGAGGCACAGATAGGTTAAGAAAGTACCCCAGCTAATAAGCAGTTGATGTGGAATGTGAATGCACTGGGCTCCAGAACCCATACTCAGAAACATGTGTGGCTTTGGCTTTTACTCACAAAGCACTGAGCTAGGTGGCATGGGAAATGCAAAGATCAGAAGGATATAGCTATCATTAACGAAGGCAAGACATGGCCTCAGATTATTAGAAGGCAGAAGACGGCAAGTAACAGGACAAAAAGCCTTGGCTGGAGATTCCACAAACCCTGTGGAGGGCAGCACAGTATAGGAGTGTGGGGCTGAGGAGCAGTGTTCCTCATGGTCAGATGGTGCACCTCCTGGCACAAGGGAGAGAGATAAGGGTTGACTCCCCTGCCCACCAATCACTCCACTTGTGGAATTTTTCTATTGCTGCACAACCAATTATTCCACAATTTAGCAGCTTAAAAAAACAAATATTCTTTATCTTACAGCTTCCATGGGTCAGGAATTCAGGAGCAACTAAGCTGAGTGATTCTGGTTCGGTGTCTCTCATGAGATTTCACTCAAGATACTGACCAGCCCTGTAGTCATCTGAAGGCTTGTCTGGAGGATCCACTTCCAAGATGGCTGACTCACATGGCTATTGGAAGGAACTCTCACTTCTTTGCCAAGTGGGCTTTTCCACTTTTCTCAGAAAGTAAAATATTTTCCCAGAATCTATTACTTCAGAACTAGGTTACCTGGCCACTCCCTGGGAACTGAGAAGCTGGAAGAGTAGTTGACTTTCCATCTTCTACACTGAGAACAGCAAGGGAGAAAGGAGGCTGTGACTGGCTGTTGGGTTAGTGTCTTCCACAGCTACCCAACTCTGAACCAGTAACTTCCAGGGCATGGAAGTCTCTAACTGGTAGGGCCAGCTCCATCAAACCCACATGAACTCACAAACCAAGTAGGATTGGGGAGTGGGGGGCAGGGGCGTGCAGTGTACAAAGGGGCAGGGTGTTGACCCAAAGCAAGGGTATATTAGAGAGTATAAAAACATTCACCCACACAAGAGCTACAGAGTGTTCCACTGTATGGATGAACTCACAATTCTTTTGTCGACTTTAGTTCCAAAACAAGAAGATGAGAAGATAGATATGGGTAATAATTTCAACCCAGGCATGGAGTGGGCACAAGTGGGCAGAAGGTCTGGATGGAGAGCATTTCAGGATTAGAGAATGGGCTGTAAAGAGGGTAGAAGGAAATAAGGGGTAATCCCGGCTAGCCGTGAATGCCAAACTGTGCTAATATTTCATTTAATACAATCGCCATATGAGGTCAGTTTTACTTTACTTCCACTAAATTCCCATGTTCCAGATAAGAAAACTGAGAGCTACAGAATTGAGTCATTTGCTTGAGTCACCCACTCAAAAAGTGGAGGTTGGCTAGACCACAATCTACACCCAGGTCTTCCTCACCAGTCCCCAGGCAGTCTGACTCCAGAGCCTCCAGGCTTAGGAGACCCTGCACTGCTTCCCTACAGAGAGGGAAACAGACCCTATTAAAGTCATATGAAGTCGCTCTTCCTGGAAAGATCTAGAGGTAGCTGCTACATACCGGGCTCATGTCATCTGATGTATTGGAAGACTGGGGCTGGGATCTCACTGAGATTCTGTAATCCTCATGCTGAGATGAGATTTCTGACTGAATTAAAAGTAAACTACACCAACATTGAGGCCAGAGGACATGCCCCTGGAACTGTAAAGGTATTAGCAGCTCCACATCCCTGCCTCATCAGGGTCTCACCTCTTTAAGCCGACCTTGATGAAGACGGTCTGGAGCTGGAGTTGGGCCAAAGGGAGGGGTGTGCCCCCTGGGCTGTCCATAATAAGTAGAGTCACAGGAACTGGAGAATGTGGCCACCCAGCTGATTGTGGATGGTATGTGTTGTGTGTTCGCATTTCTGTAAAATATAATTTAAGTATATTCAAGGAAAAACAATTTAGAATTTAGAGTAAACTGTTAGCAATGGTTATCTTGGGGAGAGGGTTTGGGGAGACCAGGGACCTACCTTTTTCTCTAATATATGCTGCTGCAAAGGTTGACCTTTAACAAAAACAGAAAAAAAAAAACAATTATATTTAAAAACAATATAATAGCTGTAATATCTAAGGGAAGAAATGACATAAAAAAATAAAAAATAAAAAAACAAAAAACAAGAAATTGAAGGCAGAGCCAGGACCAACGCCAGGAGACTCTGAGTAAGGGATTCTACCCTTCCTCCCGCACCCCACCCCTAGCACTAAAACAGCCCCAGCCTCCAGGCCTGGGGGCTGCATTCCTGGTAGCCGCCTGGGTCCGCCAATCTCTTTCCTCCTACACAAATCCCGTCTCCAGGCCCCGCCTGCCAGGGCTGTTCCCTGGCCTGCGTGGCCCCGGCCTGCTAGAGATGAGGGTGGGTGGGTGGCCCGGAGCGATGCAGAGCCCACCCCGCCCCGCAGAATCCACCCCGTGGGCGGTGCCTGACAACTCGTGACCCGGGCCCTGTGACCAGCGCGGGGCGGGGCCGTCAGCGCGGTCGCTGCAGCCGACGCGGTAGGTGTCCGAGTAAGCGGGGAGCTGGCCTGGGTTGGCGTGGACTTTCCTCTCTAGCTGAGGTGGGCACAGGCGAGTGTCTGGGCACTGCCCCAGCTTCCGCTACCCCAGGGCCCGAATCCCATCGATCTGCTCGGCCCCCCTCCCTAGGCAGGGCCGGAGGGGGGCGATAGGATCTCCACCGTGGTGGGGGAAACACTCCTGTACCCCACGGATGGCCGATTCGGCCACGTCCGCCTCGGGCCTTCCCACTCTGAGCGCAGTGCTGGGGAGCAAACGCCCTCCCCTCCTTCCGGAGCGTGCTTTTCCTGGAAACTGAAGTTCCACAAGCAAGGCCGGCAGGTGCGGGGAGCACGTAGTGAGAGACACACCTCTCCAGACAAGCCCACGGCTCCCACCTGCTCTGGTGGCTCAAGATAAAACCATGGCTCCTCTAGTTATTGAGGAAGGGGGCGAGGAGGGTGGTAGAGACTATCCTGCGGTAGAAGTGGAAGGGTGGAGAAAAGGGGCTGGCTGGGTCGAACTACCAGATCATAGCCAACATATTGAATACTGTGTGGTTAAATGCATTTTTTCATTTAATAGTCACCATCGTGAAATTTGTCAGGTAGTTACTTTGTCCCCATTTTCACATGAGAAAACAGGCTCAGGAAACTTGGGTCCTTTGAGCAAGATCCTGCCCTTGGTAAATGAAGAAATGGAGATTAGAACCCAGAGCCGTACCACAGCGGCACCTCCCGGTGGGCAGTGGAGGAACTGGGCCCAGCTGTTAACTCCTCAGTGAACTGAAAGTGCGTCCTCTTCCTGACTCAGACTGCCTGGGGAGAGGGTGTTGCTGGGTGAGAGAGGCTTCTCCCCTCTCCCCCAACCATCTCCATCCTTTTCTCCCCACCCCTTACAACTAATTCCTTTTGTCACCTGCCTTTTGCAGGACAAGATGAAGCTCATCATCCTGGACCACTATTCTCAGGCCAGCGAGTGGGCCGCCAAATACATCAGGAACCGCATCATCCAGTTTAACCCAGGACCAGACAAGTACTTCACCCTGGGGCTCCCCACTGGTGCGTTATTGGATGGAGAGGGTGCCATGGATAGAGGGGAGAGAGTGGGCATTAGGGGATTTTAGAAAGCCAGGTCAGGCTTACTCAGCCAAGGAACTTCAAGGAGGGCTCTGAGCTACTGGTACTATGAGTGAACAACTCCCCTGCTCCCTGGACTTAAAAAACAGAGGTCTCAGCTTCCTCTGTGGGTTGGTTTAGTTGCTGCCTGTTCCTTAGTAGTTCTGGAGCAGGAAGAACTTGATTTATGGCTGCATCCTAAGTCAGCCCCGTCAGCCAGGGTTCCTTAACTGGATTAAGTCCCAGTGCCCTAAGGCATACATTTTATGCAGCGAATTAATTTTTCTGTGCATCTGGAGTGCTACTAGTTTGTCCCACCATCCTTGAGAGAATTGAGAAGATAGTCACAACATTTTCTGTGAGGCTTAATTAAACACAGGACCTAAGTGAAGAACAGTGCTAGTTTCTTTGGGAAAAAAAATCAGAATGTTGTCTTTATAGGAAGATATTTTTACTCCAGCCCCTCAAAGCAAATGTCCTGATTACGTTTCAGAAGTGGGTGGATTTGTCCCAAAGGCCCATCCACGAGAACAGAGGTCTTCAAACTTTTTCTGTAAGTGGCCAGATAGTAAATATTTTGTGCTTCACTGGCCATACAGCCTCTGTTGCTACTTAACACTGCCCTTGCAGCTCAAAAGCAGCCAGACAATACATAAATGAATGTCAATAAAACTCTATTTATGAACACTGAAATTTGAGTTTATATAATTTGCATATGTCACAAAATAATATTCTTTTGATTTTTAAAAACCTAAAAAAATGTAAAAACCATTCTTAGCTCATGAGCTGTATGGGCTAGATTTGGCCTGTAGGCTGACATTTACTCACCTCTGTACTGGAGGTTTGTGGGACCAGTATCTGTGAATACTGTGAAACCACCAATACCCCAGGCCATATGGGGGCTGCGCTAATATCCTGTTTTCTAACTGGGTCAGAGTCTGGGCTTCTGCTGAAACACTCCCTAGTTCCCCATGATCTGCAAAATCAAATCCAAGCTCCTCAGAGTGGCACTCAGGGCCCTCCACAACTAAGCTAGCCCCTTCCTATCACACTTGAACCAGCACAACATATCCATATAGGTTCCTTGGAACATTCCATCTGTTAGATGAAGCAAGCACCAGGCAGGGTTCTGGGTGAAAACCACAGAAACCAACTCTAGTTAACTTAAACAGAAAAGGAATTTATTGGCTGGGTATTGGGGAGCTTACAGAATTGATGGGATGGACTAGATGGAAGTGAACAAGCCCAGGGGAAAGACAGGAAAGCTGTACAGTTCAGACATGGCTAAGGCCATGTCACAGGGACAGGCTGATTATTTTGGGTGGGGTTGGGAGGGGGGGCTACCACTATCATTCATCAGCAGATATTTATTGAATGCCTGCTATATGTCAAGCTGTTCTAGGTGCTAGGGATACAGCAATGAACAAAAGAGAAATTCCTGCTTTCCTGAAACTTAAATTGTAGGGGGAGACAGATGATAAACAAACTAGTAAAATACCAAGTATGTTAGATAGTGAAAAGAGAGAAGGAGAAAGATGAAGGAAGGAGGATAGGGAGTATCTAGGCAGGGGTAGGGGTTGTAGTGTTGGATATGGTAGCAAGGAAGGTCTCTGAGGAAAATTTTAAGTAAGGGCCTGAAGTGGTGTAAGATAACCATGCAGATACCTGAAGAAAGAGCATTGCTGGCAAAGGGAATGTGCAAAGGCCCTGAGGTAGAATTGTTTGGAGCAAGATGAGTAAGGGAGAGAGGGGTAACCAGGGGCCAGGTTATGTAGAGCCTTTGTTAGGGCTGGATATTATTCAGAGTGAAATGAGAAGCCATTAATGGATTGTAAAAACGGTGATCTGATTTGGGTGAGGCTTTTATTCTTTCAGTCTTTTTCTTTTGAAAAATTTCAACTATTAAGGCAAGTTGAAAGAATAGTACACTACTATTTTCATAGATTCGCCAGTTATTACCTTTGTCACATTTGCTTTCATCTCTTCTGGCTCCTGTTCTGTCTGTACAAACACAGTTTTTTTCCTGAACCATGTGAAAGGAAGTTCCAGACATCCTGACATCCTTTACCTCTAGGTCCTTCAGCACCTGTCCCTTCAGAATAAGGACATTCTCTTACATAGCCACCATACCATTATCATACCTAAGAAAATTAAAAATCATCACAATATCATGTAATAGACATACTACATTAAATTTTTTTTCCTAATTGTCTACACTTTTCATAACTTAAAAAAAATGAATCCAGTGTTGTTAGGCTTCATGCATCTGTAGTCTTTTAGTCTATAGCAGTCTTCCTGTCTTTTTTGTTTTAGACTGACTTTTTAATGAGACTCAACCCTGGGGTTGTCTTCCCTGAACCCTCAGGCTAGCCTGTGCTTACCCCATCACAGCTGACATTACTGCTTCCTGTCCCCACTCCTAGACAGCTCTTCCAGGGTGGCTACTATGTCTCTCACTCCTCTGCATCCCCACCACGAGCCTCCCTGTGCCTCGCACACAGTAGTTGCTCCGGAAGTGTCATGTTAGTAATTAAGTCTGACATTCACTCAGTTGCAGTCATTTTAATCATCAGTGTGTTGGGCACTCAAGATTCAGCAGAAAACAAAGACAGCTTACCATCTAGTGAGGAAATAGGCAATAAACAAGCAATTGATGCGTGGCAGTTAGGATTGGAGCATTTGGGTAGCACTTCAGATCTGACTTATTTCGCTCAGACCTGACAGGTTGTCCCTGTGGAATAGCCCTGACTCATTCCTGGGTGCTCTCTGGGCTTCTAGGAACTGGGATCTGAAGGATGTTCATGGCTATGGCCTCTCTTGCAGGGAGCACCCCACTTGGCTGCTACCAGAAGCTGATTGAGTACTATAAGAATGGAGATCTGTCCTTCAAATATGTTGAGACCTTTAACATGGATGAATATGTGGGTGAGTCTTCCTCTTTCAAGGTCTTTACCTGATTCCAGGAGTTGTATTTTTCACCTCACAGGCTTGGCCCTAGAGTGGAATGCAGATGTCTCAGGGAACCAGTGGCATTTGGTGATAGGCTCAATTACTGATATCTGTCTCTTCCAGGCCTTGGTTTACTCAGCTATAAAATGGGTAATAAATAAAACTGACCTCATAGGTTGTAAGCATTAAATGATACAACAGATGTGGAAACCTCTTGTTTAGAGCAAGCACTTAATAAATATTTGAGTATTTTCTCCTCTGCCTCCTCCCCAATTCCATGCCATTTCTTTTTGGAACAAATGCCTGGAAATGGTAGCGTGGCTAGAGTGTGTCCCCAGTGTCTGTATATGGACTTTCTCTCCAGTGTTCATTTGCTAGCTCCCCTTTCTGCCAGGTACATTGGGAGGGGAGCTGAGACTGATGTCCTTTCCACTGCTGAAAAGCTACAGCTCGATCTCTGTCACCTCCTTCCACTCCCCGCCCCCCTGTATTTTTGTAATGGCTTCACTTTAAACTTTAATTGTAATAAAATACATGACATAAAATTTATTGCCTTAACCATTTTTATGTAAGTTCAGTAGCGTTAAGCACATTCATTCATATTGTCATGCAACCAATCTCCACAACTTTTTTCATTTTGCAAAACTGAAACGCTATACCCATTAAATACCAACTCCCCATTTCCCACTCCCCCAGCCCGTGGTCATCACCATTTTACTTTCTCTATGAATCTGACTGCTCTAGGTACCTCACATGTGGTATTTTGTCTTTTTGTGACTGACTTATTTCATTTAACATAATGTAGCATGTCAGAATTTTCTTCCTTTGTAAGGCTCACTGTAAACATTCTTAATGTTTAACATTAAACATTAAATATTCACTTTAAACATTATTTTTCTTCTTGGATAAAAAAAAAAAAATCCCATTTGGCAAGTCCTGAAATAATTCTCTCCAACCACTTGGTGTTCAAGTTGGGGTTTGGGCTGAGCAGCGTATAACTGGGAGTGGGAAGCTCAGGGTGAATGGAGTGCTTGCTTCCTTTGCCTGTCCCAGAGGGGCCCTGCCCTACCCCCAGGTGTCTAGGCCACTTCCAGAAGCCCAGAGTTACTTTGGCCTCCCTTGGTCATTCCCTTGTGAAAAGGAGGTCAAAGTGAGGGGATTCCTCAGGCCCCTGATGTGCAGCTACTTTGGCTCAATTCCATAGTCACAGGTGGTGGTGGTGGTGGGTAGACGCTTAGGGATACCAGCTCAGCCTATCCCAAGGGGGTGAGGGTCAGAGGGCTGGCACCCAAGGTTCTCTGATGAGCATTCCCGAGAGCATCTCTAGGGATCAGGATATCCTGGCATCCTCCTTGGGAGGAAGGCTCTGGCTCGGCCTAGGCATGACTAAGCATGGCCATGGCCCCACAGGCCTTCCTCGAGACCACCCGGAGAGCTACCATTCCTTCATGTGGAACAACTTCTTCAAGCACATTGACATCCACCCAGAACACACCCACATTCTGGATGGGAATGCAGCTGACCTGCAGGCTGAGTGTGACGCCTTCGAAGAGAAGATCAAGGCTGCAGGCGGGATTGAGCTGTTTGTTGGAGGTGAGCTTGACACTGCAGTAGGTGTCCAGGCCAGACCCAGCATGGCTAGAACACATGCCTGTCTCCAAACAGCTTCTTCTCTCTGTGCTAGCAACAGTGGGGGTCACTTATTCCTTGCAGGAGGCAGGGAAGGCCGAGTGGGAGCCTAGCTCCCTGCCCTGGCTCTGCTACCCAGCGGCTTTGATCTTGGACATCTCCTCTTTCTGCACTTCAATGCCTTATCTGTAAATTAAGAGGTTTGAATTTTGACTTTGAGATTCTATTTCCCAGTCTTAAGGTTTTACAGCTCAGGCATGGGACTTATCTAAACAGATAAAAATCAGACTCGCGTAGTTCCCTGACTCCACACTCAGCTCTTGCATGCTATAGCCAGTTGAACCCCAGAGAAGTTGTATCTTAAGGTTTTACAGCTCGGTCATGGGACTTATCTAAACAGATAAAAATCACAGACTCGCGTAGTTCCCTAAGACTCCACACTCAGCCCCTGCATGCTATAGCCAGTTGAACCCCAGAGAAGTTGTGTGGTTTGCCCAAGGTTAGCTGGCCAGAGCAGTGGAGAGAAGGTGGGAACAGATTTGTGCCCTTGTTCCTACCCTGGGCTGCCCTCTTAAATTTCCATGTCACCATCTCTAGAGTCACCCACAGGGGTTTGAAGTCAGATTGACCTTTTCTGCTCTAGATTTAACCCTTCTCTATTTCAAGGTGGGGAGGAAGAGGCTGGGAACACTCATGTTCTGAGATTTTATAAACTTGGCAGCCCCTGTCCAGGCCCTGTGTTTCATTCTCTGTGACTCTATCTTAGACACAGGACCCCTGACTACCAGCAAGAGAGAAGTTGCACTTTGATTTGGGGAGGCAGAAGCTATTTGAAGTACCCCTTACTTAGCTTTTTGAGGGTGGCAGCAAGTTAACAATGGTTGTGTGTACTTCAGATAGAAATGAGAAGAAAGGGGAAGGGGTGATCATAGGCTTAAGTGTACCTGCCCAGGGGTGAATGAGGAGACACAGTTTTTAAGGAGTTTTGCAGACTCCAGGTGGAGAAAGAGAGATAGTCCACCCTTGAAATTTTGGATTCCTGGAACTGACAGGGCTGCTCTGTCTCTCCCTGGCAGGTATCGGTCCCGATGGACACATAGCCTTCAATGAGCCAGGCTCCAGTCTGGTGTCCCGGACCCGTGTGAAGACACTGGCCATGGACACCATCCTGGCCAATGCTAGGTTCTTTGATGGAGATCTCGCCAAGGTGCCCACCATGGCCCTGACGGTGGGTGTGGGCACTGTCATGGATGCTAGAGAGGTAAGGGTGCAAGGGGTCCGTAGGCCTTCACAGGGGGATTGAACTAGTCTTTTGGCTGTTAAAAAACTTCAACTGTGCAGGTACCACCTGAATACTTTTGTATTAGAAATTAAGACATTATAAATAAGGATAAAATCCCAACTGACCCTCTTTGGGGAGCACCGTTACTCCCGGTGTGAGGTGAGTCCTTTTGAGTGCTGACTGCCCAGGGACTGCAGGCTCCCTGGCCTCTGCTGATGTACCCCTTTCAAGCTCCTCACAGGCAGAGGGAGAGGAGCCCAGCACCAATAATGTCTGAATATGAATTCGCACCTGCCCAGGTACTGAGAGGAAACTTCTGGTTCCCTGCAGTTGGTGGAGGTCACTGTTTGAAGTGAAGGATGTTTGTAGTTACATACAGCCCTGTGCTCAGGGATTCATAACTGTGGAGACATATGATTGAAATATAAGTGTCTTGAACTGAATTTATTAAGTTCTTCCCTAGAAAGTTGGATAATGATTGAATTTTTTGTGGTTCCAACTTCCTTACCATCTTTCATTAGAATTTTAAAAGCTTTTTCTCTTCCTGGGTTATATTCAGTGGGAAACAGTTACAGACCTTTGAGCTTCAAGCTTCTTTGCCCAAGTCTGTAAACAAACATCTGAAGCAGTGAAAAAGGTTCCCTGTCTAAAGTGAACTTTTGCAAAATGCATGATGGCACCATATTTCTGTTGCGCATCCTTAAATCAGCATCTAGAGAGGTCATTCTGCTCTTCTTAACTTGCAGCTTATAAACCCTCCCTGTATGTGAGTGTACTGTAATCTGAGAAAGGACCTGGGGCTGGAAATCAGGAAATTCTCTTTTGATAAAAGTTCTGCGGTCCTGAACAAAGTCACATTCTCTCTATGCCTGTTTTCCCATCTTTTAAAAAAGAAACAGTAAATCTTGTCACAACTCCATGGTACAAGTGAGTGACAATGAGAGGAAATCCATGAAGCTGAGTTTTTACAATCACTGTCCAACACTTACTTTCTTGATATTTTAACTGTTGAGGGGAGTCTGTGCCTTTGTTTCATTTAAACAAAAGGTACTACCCCAAGTCTCATTAGTAGGTCTAATACTCAGAACTGAAAGTGACCAGATTAAGGGGGAACTTTGTTGGTATTCAACCTTAGAGGCCATGGAGATAACTCTCACCACTGCTCCCAAGGCCCCCTTGCAGATTGGGACCCATCTTTTTCAGTTTGTGATTGTGAAAACTTACCTAGCCTAGGACCCCTTGGGACCCAGTGTCAGAACTGTTGAGATAAAAGGTGGGCCTCTGTGTGGCACATCTGTTTACAGGGCACTTGCACAGTCACCATCAAAGGTGCCTGGAGGCACTACTGGTGATGGGCAGGAACATGGGGCAAGTTACTTAACCATCCCCCCAGCCCATTTCTTATCACAGAACATTGTGATAACGATGCTGCCTACCTCAGGCTACTTGTGTGATAACACATGGGAGCATGGAGCACCGTATGATGGAGCACAGTGTGTCGCATGCCAACGACTTACGATGGTATATAAAAATAGTAGTCCTCACAGCGGTTTGGGGCAGCCACACTAGAATTCAGGTCCCTGGACTTCCGGTTCCGCTGCTCCTCCATCACAGCCTTGTTTTCTGATCCCCAGGTGATGATCCTCATCACAGGTGCTCACAAGGCGTTTGCTCTGTACAAGGCCATTGAGGAGGGAGTGAACCATATGTGGACCGTGTCTGCCTTCCAGCAGCATCCCCGCACGGTGTTCGTGTGTGACGAGGATGCCACCCTGGAGCTGAAAGTGAAGACCGTCAAGTATTTCAAAGGTAAGGGAGGGGTGAATGTGGGAGGAGGTGGCTAAATTCAGAGTGTGCCGGGAGTGGGGAGTGGATCTAGCTTTCAATTGGCCATTTTCATTGTCAACTCTAATTTTAATAAAAATCAAACCCTACTGTTTCAGAATACAGTCATTTCTCTTCCATCTGTGACGGTGAGGGTCCATTTCTGGAGACCTGTTTGCTCTGAGGAGGAGAAAAGAAAATGAAAAGACGTAGTCCAAGGGCTAGGTGGGGATCTTTGCGGTGCTAGTGAGCCTCAGGTTGTTTATCTTCCCAGCTCTTGCACGAGCCTTTCCCTGTGAGAAAAGCACTTAACTGTCACTGAGGGTCTTTTGTTCTTCTTAAAAAGGATATAAACTGCCTTAAGCAAACTCATGTGAAAAATCCTCATTTACTGAATAAGCAAATTCAGGATTTGTTCTTTGCTGAAAAGATTAACCTTTTAATGGCCAACTCTTCTACAGATTGCATTTACAAAAGTCCAGTGGTTTCTGGAATTCTTTGGGAATAACAAATTCTTTTCCTAGTCTTATAGTGTGTATCTTTTGGGGCCACAGAGAAAACATGATGATCAGTTCCAGGACAAAATTTGAGAGCTCCTGGATATTACTGTTGATACTCGTGGAACCCTGCCTCTACCTGCATTAACTACTTTTTAATTTTTTTTTTTTAGGTTTAATGCTCGTCCATAACAAGTTGGTGGACCCCTTGTACAGTATCAAAGAGAAAGAAACAGAGAAAAGCCAGTCTTCTAAGAAACCATACAGTGATTAGCCTGTGCTAATCCTAGTGTCAAGTATCTCACTGGGACGGGCAGGTCTTTCTGGAAATTGTCTTTAGGAAGACAAAATTGTATTTCTTTAATCTAGTATGATTACTCCAGATATATGGGTGAACTTATTTTTCTTCACTCTGCAGTGCGGAGCCTAGTTGTGGAGTTTAGCTACAGGAGGAATGACTTGTAATTTAACTGGAAAAAAACATCACTCCATAATTTTGGTGTCAGCTTCACAGAGTAGGGATTTTTAGCTTTTTATTCTGCCTCTGACACTGTTCACATGTACACCACCACACTCCCATCAGAAATTTCCATCATTATGTGCAGACTGTCACTTAGAGGGAAGAGGGGCTTGTTTTGGACAAAACTTCTTTGGAGAGGCTTTGAGAGCCCCTCTTGAGCAGGCCTGCCTCTTATTTGAGAATCACTGTTCCGGATTAAGTAACAAACTCTAAAATCAGTATAAGGGAGGCAGTCCCTCTGGTCAGTAACAAGTGCCATGGAAAGAAAACTATCCCTTACTTTCTCAGTTGTTTTTCCTGGTCTCTCAGTTGACCTTTCCGTGAACTTTGAGGACTCCTTGGGGGAGGATGTGGGTGGGTAGGGCTAAACAGAAGGCTTTGCTGATAAACTCAGAGCCTCAAGGGGGCCAGGCCACGTCAAACTCCTCTCCACTCCTCTCCCTCAGGGACCCTCCAGCACTGGAAGGCAGAAACCCTTTTCCCTCCACAGCCCTGTGTTTTTGTTCCAAGGTCTCACTGTGGCTCTTCTTTTTTACATACTCAATAAGTAGGAGGTCCACTGGGGCAACAGACACTGCCAGAATTTCAATGTGGTGTCCAGCCAAGTTGATGGGGGCCAGTTTAAGCAGCTCCATTATGAGTTTAGTCACAATACACAAGTGTATTCTGCTTCCTTAGGAGTTGAGTGACAAAACAACATACCAAATGTTTCTAAAGTTGCCTTTCCCCACCTAAAAATCCCTGCCTTTCTAACCCTCTCAGGTTGGGGTGGCATGCTCCAGTGTTCCCAGAACATCAGGAAATACATTTTTGCTCCTTTCTTTATCCTTTACCCTTTGTTCTCAAGATGAGTCTACTGCTCTGCCTTCCTTTTACTCTCTCAAGCCTTCACGTGGATGCTGCCTATTTCTGTGCCTGTGTCAAGCTGCTGCTACTTGTTTCTGGGACAGATCGTTCAGAGCCTGGCTCAGGCCTCTCAGTGCTGTGTTTGATACCAGTGTTTCGTCGTTAGCTTTCATACGTGATTGCCATCATTTTGTTTTAAACTAATGGCTTAATGGAATTGTTTACAATGTGATAATTTTCTATTAAATTCGGTATTTTCAAGTTTGTCATTTGTGGACTTCCACCCCCTCCCCTCCAAAGGTCAAAAGATGGTTTGGGTTGATATACATTTGGGGAATAGCCCAGTGAACAAAGCTGTCACAATAGCTCTGCAGGAAGTCACAATCATAGCAATTGTTAATCTATTCTAAACTGAACCAGGGTAAAAGAAAATATTTTATAAGAATGAAGCACCTATGTGAAAAATGGTAGGAATGAACAGTTGAGCAATAAATTGTCATGTTCTGGACGTACCTAGGACCATACAGCTGTTAAAAAGAATAAGGCAGATTTGTGACCAGGAAGATATAAAAACTGCAAGGTATGGAAAACAGGTTTAGTATTTTAGTTAAAAAAGTCAATATAATGGAATATCTTGGGTAAATATAACCAATTAGATACAAGTAGAAGTTGGAAGGGTTTAATTTTTCACCAGTTACATTGAGATATAATTTACATGCCCATAATCCACCTATTTTGAAAATAAATTCAATGATTTTTACTAAGTCTGTGGAGTTGTGCAAGTCCTTACCACAATCCACTTTTATCATCCGCAAAAGCTCCTTATTCCTACCCTGGCCTTTTCTGGACATTTCATATAAATAGAATCACACAGCGTGGCACCTTTTGGGTTGGGCTTCTTTCATTAAGCGTAATGTTTCGGAGGTTCATGTAACATGCAGTAGTCATCCATTCCTTTTTATTGCTGAAGAATACTCCACTGTATGAGTACACCGCATTGTTCATCCAGTAAAAAAGGGGTTAAGTTTCAAACAGGCATAGAAAAAATTAGAATGAAGTGAAAAAGGATTAGTAATGACAGCTAAACTGGAGATGTCTGTATGAATTCGGGACCCTGGTGGCCCAGCAGCTGCTGCAACAAGTTCTTGTGTGGATCAGGTGGAATGTATGCTCCTGGGCCAGACTGGGTCTCCTTGGACAGGAACTAACTGCATGCTTTGGGACCAGGATCCAGTGGGCCTGGAATATCTGGTTGCCAGAAAATAAGAGTGCTTTAAAAAAATGTCTGAGGCAGTACTGAGAGGACGAAGCAGCCAGTTTAATGGGGCTCCCACTGACCGGGCTGTGACAATTTGATTAATTAATATATTAAAGACAGCTAAGTAGAACAAGTTGAGTCTGTAAAATCCCAAGTCTGATACTCAAAAAAATGAAAAAGATAATGTTAAATATTAAGTACACATGGAGTTTAAGTTCAGAAAGAGTGGATAGAATGTGTTTCAAGCTGTAAAGAGTGACAGCGAGTTGACGTAAATGGTTGTCTCCTCTATTAAATATGCTTATAAAGTAGAGATGGAAATGAGCCTGGCCCACTATTTCCCCCACTCGATACTCTATGGCTTACTCCCAACTTCCTCTGGTCTCTGCTCAAATGTCATTTATCAGGTCTTCCCTGGTCCTCCAACAAAGTAGCAATCCTGATTCTCTAGCTCCCTTACCCTGCTCTATTTTCTCAGAACCCTTACCACCTGACATGTATTTTGTTTCCCATTAAATGTAAACTTCATGAAAGCAAACTAAATACTGCTCTATCCTGTGCCTTGATATCTAGAAGGTATCCATTATTTGTTGAACTATAAGCCATATAGTTCCTCCCAAGAGTAGTGTTCATATACAATAACCAAGGGAAATAATAGCAATATTATATGATAATGGATCGCAAATTGTCCTATTGAGGCAATCTAGCTTTGCAAATGACACCTCTTTCCTGGGAACCAAAATCCTTACTGTGATGAGATGCTAATGAAGCATGTATAAGTTTCCAGTAATATATTGTGACAATACGGAGATATTATAATGGGTATGTAAAACAGAACACAGTAATTTGGACCTCAGAGATACCCTTACCACCACCTGGCAATCACACCATATTCTCTAGTCCATTCAGTCGCTTGGAAGACTAATTCATAAGGTCTCAAGCCTCCAATCTCTCTTCACCCAGCCTTTCTCTCAGCTGATAACTCTGAAAGTAGAAGCAATCAGAAAAGAACTTCCACAAGCTCCCACCATCACATACACCCACCTGCCAGCCCTGCCCTCATACTCTGCCTTCTTCCTGTTACTTGCTCCTTGGCCAGTCCCTTCACTTGTGCACTAGATCCCATCTTCTCTTGCCTCCTTGAGGGCACTGCTCCAGCAACTCTCCTCTCACCTGCAGCATCAAATTGTCCTTCTTTCCTGGATCACTCCTATGAGCATACAAAACAAGTTTTAGAAACAAAACTCTACACTCTTTGCCCTCTCCTGTAATAGACTCTCTCTGATCCCCCTAAATTTCGAGAGTTATCAATATTCTGGCTCTAATCTCTTTTCTCCCATTCTCTCCCTCCTGGTACTCATTATGCTTATGTTACACCTTTTGTAATTGCCTCCGTTTTTTAACATTCTGTACCTTTCTCTCCTGTCCACCCCCTCCCCCCCAACCCCCATTCCTTTTTCTCTTTAAATTTTAGTTTGGGACATTGCTATTGACATATCCTCAAGCTCACTAATTCTTTCCTTAACTGCGTTCAGTTTACTGATGAGCCCATCAGTGGCATTCATTTGTTTCTATTACAATGTTTTTATTTCTAGCATTTCTTTTCAATTCTAAGAGTTTCCATTTTTGCTTACATTACTCGTCTGTTCTCACGTTGTCCACTTTTTCCACCAGAGACCTTAGCAAAGTAATCATAGGTATTTTAAATTCTCAAGTTTGATAACTAAAATTTCTGCCGTATCTGAGTCGGATTCTGATGCTTACTTTGTCTCCGGACTTTTTTTCTTTTTTAGTGGGCAAGAGTCCCTGGGCTGAGACCTTCTAAGTTCCTAAGTTTTTTGTTCCCCTTTTATGTGAGACAGGAAGACTGGGAAGGGGGCTCAAGCCATCTAACTGCCCCTAGGTCAGAGAAGACTCCTGCAAAGTAATTTTTCCTGAGGGCAGGCTTCTGCCATGAAAACAGAAAGCTCTATTTCAAAATGTATTTCAAAATGGCTAGAAGGGAATTTTTCTGCCATCTTCACAGTGAGAACCTAGTAGAACTTCTGGAGATAAAACCCACTGAAGGGGGTGGGGGGGCCAAGAATAGCTCCCAAGAATTTTTACCTCTCCAGCTAGTCCATACTTAAGCCTCCAGCAATTCATTTAAATCCTGACTAATGACTCCAGCAGCTTCTGCTTTAGGTGAGCTGATCTGTATATTCTGCATTTTCCTGTCGTTTTTGTTGGTTTGCCCTGTGACCTCAGTTCTCTGATAGATCTAAGAAAAGCTGATTTTCAGTTTGTTCAGCTTTTCTCTTGTTAAGAATGCCCTATTCTTTCTCAAATAAACTCCATATTTTCACTGTCCCTCCAATGAAACAGCTCTTGTCAAAGTCACCTCTACATTGATTGCTAAGTCAGTTCTTAGAACTCCTATTATGTGACCTGTTTGCAGTATCTGACACAGCTGACCACTTCTTCCTTCACACGTGACATTACACTCTGCTGATTTTCCTACTTTATTGCCCACTCTGTCTCCTTTGCTGGCTGCGCCTCTTTGCCCTGACCTCTTAGCATGAGAAGTGTCCAGAGACTCAGTCTTTGGACGTCTGCTGTCTATACAACTTACTCCCTAGGTAATTCCATCTAGTCTCATGGATTTAAATACCATCTGTATGTTGATTCCCACATTTACATATCCATCCTGAGTCTTCCCTTGAATTCCAGGCTAGAATAATCAACTGCCTACCTAACATCTCCACTGAGCACATCACCAGGTTTCTCAAGCTCATCTGTCCACAACTAAATTCCTGATCTTCGTACGCAAACCTACAGGTTTCTCCATTCTCAACTACTCAGACAAAAGGACCTAGAAATCAACTCTGATGCCACACTTTCTCACATTATACATCCAATCAGCAAGTCCTATTTATTTTACCTTCAAACTAAGTACAGAATCTGACCACTTCTCAAGATTCCAAGTGCTGGCACACTGGTCCAAGCCACCTGCACGTCACACCTGAGTTAACTGCAGCAGTCTCCTAACTGGTCTGTTTTAACACCTGCACACCCACTCCCCTAAAATATAAGTCAGACCATATCACACTTCTGCTGAAAGCCCTCCAAAGGCTCCCATCTCAGAGTAGAAGCCAAAGCTCACACAAGGCCCCAGGCAGTCTGCAGTACCACCCATGCCCATCCCACCTCTTTCTATTCTCCCTTCCTTGGTCTGCTTCAGCCCTTACTGGCTACCATTCCGTTCCTGGAGCCCTCTAATATGCTCCTATCCCAAGGGCCTTTGCCCATGCAGTTCCCTCTGCTTGGACTCTCTTCTCCCAGGTGTCCACAAGGTTCACTCCCACACTGCCAAGTCTTTGTTCAAGTACTCTCTGATGATGCCTTCTCCACTCTTTAACATTCCAATAGTACTCTGCCTCCTTATTCCCTCTCCCAGCTTCTCTCCCCAGCACTTACCTTCTGGTGAACCATATAATTTGCTTAGCATCTGTCTCCTTCCACCAGAATTTAAGTTCCACAAAGGCAGGGAGATTTATGACTGTTTTATTCATTGCTACACTCTCAGCACATACAGTAAGGCCTATTGTGAGATGCCCAATAAATATGTTAAATTAGTGAATGAATACTCTTTAATGAAGGAAACACGACAGGTTGCAAAAGGTGGAATGGAATTGAGTTAAGACAATCACCTTTTAAATTTATATGCATTTATGTTGTATTAATATCAGTTTGTTGATTCAATGAAGGAAAAAAAAGAGAAAGCCAAGCAAGGAAAAGAACAGTGCTGATTTTGTACTTAGCAACTATGATATCAGAATCTAAGTTTTCAATGTGCATAGTCTTCTCCAAAGCATCCTCTGACTCAGAGAAACACAGGAATCCTTAGAGTGGTAAATCTTTAGGTAACCTGAGTAACTGGGCAAAGACTAGACTATGGGTGCTGAAAGTTGATAATTATCATAAACATTTAAGAATATCCTCAAAGCCAACCTTCTGACTACAAACCCTCAGCCTGGTCTGCTGGCCAATTTTTTATTGAGCAAAAGTTCAGGGAGCAGACTATTTGGCTACTCTTACCAGAGAGTACCAGTGTCACAATTTCTCCATTCTACTAAGGGGCTTCAGCCATAACTTCTTTTCTTTACTTCAGTGGCTGCAGATAAATGCTGCTATCAGGAGTGACATTTTCATATGTAACAACTAGATGTCAACTATGGTTCAAGTACAATTTTAAGTGGCCTTACAGTTTTTGGTAATACTGCTGTTCCTACCTTGCTGGTATCATTAGATGCCATTTCTACCTATCAATGTGTATAAAAGACTATAACAAAACACAATAAAAAAAAATCAAAATCCCAGAAATAAACCTGCTTCTATAATGAAATAATGTCTCAACCATTTACTGCATTTGTAATAACATGGGAAGTGCTGCCACCTGCTGGTGATACTTATGACAAAGTTACTACCTGGTGGGATCTCCAAAATTCCTGCCAAATTTTTTAAATTCTCTTTTAAAGCTGGCAGCCACATAAATAGCTTTATGATTATCGTATCTGGTTAACTCTAACTTTCTCTTAAAAATAAATAACTAGTATATTAATGTCTAATAAACTAGAACCTTCTACTACTAAATTAACCTTGCTGTCAGTGCTATATAGATCTGAGAATATGGCTGCCAAGTCTTTTCTCCATGATTATCCTTCTCCTCAACTGGAAGGGATATGTATTTTAAGTACATTTATTTTATGTAAAAAAAAGATTTTAAAAAGTTAAATGGGACAAGGCACATCTCTACTGACAAAGGCAAGCCCTTAAAAAGTAGCGAGACCTTTATTTTAACTTAAAAAGTGATTTAGTAGCTCTTTTTCATTTATCAGTTCTAAACCCAAACCATTTATATAATCAAGAGACACAGCCTCTTCAAACTAGTTTTGGGCAGAATAACTAGGAAGTTTGCAAAGGGACCCTCTGCTCTCTCACTCCCACCAAAAGGACACATAAGGTTCATGTCAATTTACAGTAAATCTCAGCCCACTTGTAAAAAGGCCTTAATGAAATTAAGCTAGGTACAAACTTTTTCTTTTATCGTATATGTTTTTGATATACCAACCTTTTCCAAACTTATTTCTAGGGCACTCAGAGGTTACCACAATCTTTCATTTTATTCAAAGACAAAAGTACTTTACCCAAAATTTCACCATCTTAAAATTAGCTCATAACTCATGCCTCCAAAATAAGACTTTAGAAGCCCTTAGTGAAAGAACACATAGCAGCAGCTCTGCTCTAATGATAAGACAATTTTTCAATTATTTTTATTTTTAAGATTAAGCATCCTCATTGACAATGTCAGTCCTTGCTGACTCTTTGGATACACACACATAAAATGGTCAAAAGTGACTCCTCAATTTTCAAAGACAAAGTAGAAAAAAAGAACATGTTCACAGCTGCAGCTGAATTCTTCTGTTTTTTCAAAAAATAAAAATAAATTAATTTTGCTACCAAGCCACTCACCAAATCAAAGGAAAGAGAATTTTTTAAAAAGCCAACAAAACCCAGAAACAGGGATCCAGGCAAGCCAAAATTATCCCCCCAAACAGTGCTATTGCAAAAAAGGGTGGAAAACCAAATTACCAGAACTCATTAGAGAAGACCTTTAAAAAGATTTCAGAAAGTTAGGACTAAACTACAGTAGTGTGGAGTTCAAAAAGCAGATAATTAAAGAACGTTCAGCTTGCTCAGCTTGGGAATATACATCAGGCTTTCCTCTATTCCAGCAGAGGAAATAAAAATGTGAGCTGCTGGAGTTAATATTAAAATTGTCCTTACCACCATGAGGGTAAAGGGAGGAAATAGAGAATGAAAGCCAGCAAAGACAAGTTGTTCTAAATCCAGGCTCCACTGCCCAGGAAAGCCAAACACGGCTGAAGTTCTTCTGAGCTAGTATCTTCAAATAACAGACTCGGCCCAAAACCAGTGGACTATACACCAATAACAAATACTGGGTGACCCATAGTGTTTGTGGTATTAAAAAATATTTTTTAAATTATCTATAAATTTCCATCTTGAAAAGCAATAGACCAAAATGACACTGGGCTGTCCAATCAGTTATAGAGTAAAGGGCTCCCTCCAAAGAGAACTAACGTCACAGAAATTTAGGTTGGAAGGAATGTAACATGGAGTAAATAAGATCAGGCTCTTGGTACAATTTTAATAAGGCTTCTACCCACCCCAGCTGTAAGGAATAGTACTGAGGGGACTCCCACAGAATGTCTTAGAGGGATGCTTCTCAGAGAGAAAATGGTCTTTAAGTTGAACTCGACCTTTCTCCTTACCTAAAGCTTAGGGAAGAAAATAAATATTTAATTTTTAAATATTCAGAGCTTTGGGTACATAGTAATATTTAATATTCTCTAGTTTCCATTTTCTGAACCTTTGGCTTATACTTTTCTCAATTACGTTACATTGAAAAATGTATGAGTGTGCCTTAATCAGTAGTACCACGTGAAAATATAAAACTTGTCTTCCATATCTTCTACATTGGAAGAGTAAGTGAATGGTACCCTTAATACCCTGCAAAGTTATTTTGTATACTCAACAAAAGATTAGGGCAAACCATTTCACTTCCACATCTTGAGCAGTAGGAGTTAACTAGTCTTCAATTTCATCTTCCCAAATATCTCCATTAACATCCACAGCATGGAACAACCTGGAAGCATATAAGGTATAATTTTATACACTTGAAAGAAATATAATTTCTTTCATTCTCTCAGAAATACTTTCTGTACTCCTGATGACATCTGTATCTCTTCCTCCCTTTTAATATTCGACTTCAGAGAACTGAAATACGGATTGCTCTAAACAAGCTACCTTAAAGTTTATAAGAATAGTCCTTAAGGTCAAAAATAAACAATAATGGAAGATGAGTATTACCAAACTGATATTCAATGTATACAATATGTGGAATAAGTCAGGATTGGGAAAATCAATCAATCTAAAAGTTGAACTCTCTCAAGACACTGTAACTCTATTATATGCTAATCGTTCCATCCTATCTTCATGGTCCTTGCACTCTCCAACACTCGTAGAATGTTTTGTAGTTGCCAACTTGTCTTCAATCCCTTATGCTATCTAAAATGTACCCAATTTTCAACACTAGCTTGCCAGTGGTTCATAGGCAGAGCTTGCATTTTCAGCTTCTCTCATAGTCTGATAACAGCAATGATAGTAGGTGCTGCACAGGTGCCTATTAACAAAGATCAGCTGATGCTGAGACTGGGGCTGGTGAAGAACAGAATACCCACACTGTGCCAGGGGTCCCCCCACAGATCACTTACTAGTGACCAAAAAGTAAAATTACCTTTACAGTCAAGCAAATGATAAAACGGAGCATCATATGAAATAATGGGATAGTCTGACATTATGGACCTGATGTAAAACAATATGAAGTACATGTCACCCTTCATGAAGTATTCTTGTCAAAAATGTTACCCTTAATCTAGTCAAACTTCAGTCTAGGCATAAATTTCAGGTTATAGGAAATAGAGAAGATAGAGAAACAAGTTATAAGGCACCATAGAGAAACAAAACTCTAGATGGTAAGATGTTATATAGGATAACTGGCTTGGAGTCTTCACAAAGTCCACATTCCCCTCAACGCATAACATATCAAAGGAGGGTGGGCAAAACTTTTTATATTAGGAGACTAAAGAAACAGAAAAAAATAAAATGACAACTTGATTAGATCCTGGTTGATAAAATAGCTTTAAAAGATATTTTTAGGGATAACTGGGAAGTTTTAATTACATTTACTATACGATAATATGCTACTAGGATTAAAGTTTTTAAAGTATTGTTATTATGTAGAAGAATTGTCTTATCTTAGGATATACATGTGGAAGGATTTAGAGATGAAGCATCATATCTCCAACTTCGGTTCAAGTAGTTCAGCAAAAAAGTTAGAGAACAAATATGGCAAAATATTATCAATTGTTAATTTTGGTAGAAGGTATCCTACTATTCAAAGTCCTATCCTTTTAATTTTTCTGTTTGAAAATTTTCACTATAAAAAGTTGAAAAGGATAAAAAAATAAAATTTCCAAATACAATATATTCATCATAAAACTCATTTTCAAGAAAATATAAAAATTCATATATGTGGGAAAATATATGAAAGAGAATTCCCTAATAAGCAAAGCACTTAAGTCAAACACTAGATCTAAGGTCTGCAAATCAAGTGCCAAAAACTGCTGCTAAGCCTAGGGAACTCCGTGTATACATACCTGTTAAAACACGGGGAAGCAGGATCAGTGAAATGTTTATAAGGGTTTGCTCTAGACAGAGAACCCATGCAAATCCAGCAGAAATACTGCATACAGCCAGTACATGTCATCTTGTTACATCCATCTAGTTTCTGGTGGGAAAGATAGAAAGGGATAAATATCAAGACTGTAAAAGCAAAAAAGAAATGTACATGCCAAAAAGATTCAGTAAAACATTCTCCTAGTCTCCTTTTTCTCATACAGGGAGGAGATATACAGGCAACACATTGATATCTATTTAATGCTTATTCTTTTGCATTACAAGTAAAACACAGGAAATATTTAGCAGGTGATCCTACAACTAGATACTTAGCAAGCTCTCTTCTGATAAACTGTAGATAAACCAAACATGTACATTGTTAAGTGAAACATATAGTTAGATTAATATTAAAATGTCTGGATTTAATATGTATGATTTTGAATTTTTCACATAAATCTAAGTAAACATTTGGTATCAAGTTCTCCACTCTATCATAGATAGAGTAGTGGAAGAAAGTGTTAGATAGAATGCCAGTTTACTTAATGGAATAACTGGGGAATGACTGCCACAGTCAGTTCAGATATACAGTAGTCCCCTCCTATCTGCAGATTTGCTACCTGTGGTTAACTGTGATCCAAAAATATTAAAGGAATAATTCCAGAAATAAACAATTCATAAGTTTTAAACTGTACACCATTCTGAGTAGCGGGATGAAATCTAGTGCTGTTCTGCCCAAGACGTGAATCATCCCTTCCCGTTAGTCACTTGGTAGCCTCCTATCAGATCGACTGTCACGGTATTGCAGTGTTTATATTCAAGTCACCCTTACAATAGTCTAATTCTACCTCACAAAGCCTACATTATTCACCTCATTTTGTATCATTTCACATCATCTCAAGAAGGGAGAATATAGTATAACATATTTCCATGAAAAGAGACCACATTCAAATAATTTCCATTACTGTATATTGTTATAATTATTTTATGATTATTATTGTTAATCTCTAACTGTGCCTAATTTACGTTAAACTTTAACATGGATATGTATGTGTAAGAAAAAACAGTATGTACAGGGTTCAGCACTATCCATGATTTTTGTCATTCACTGGGGTCGTGGAATACATTTTTGTCATTCACTGGGGTCATTCACTGGGGTTTTTGTCATTCACATGGATACGCAGGAACTACTGTAATGGACTGGAACAGAAGAATCAAATACAAAGATATATCTCAATTTTAAAACATATTGAGATTTTGTCAAGAAGCAATAATATTTATCTATTTTGGCTCTGATTAATGGGAAAATGTCTCCATTTCCTAAGCATATACTTGTTAAACAGGTATGTTAAATTCCAGGATAAATAGTTCTGAGAAGTCAGTTTGATTTTTTGTTTATCATGTAGATGAACTAAGAGTAGATTGGAGCTCTAGTATGGCCTCCTCATAACCCATTCAATTTTGAGGTGGATATAATGTGAGAAAATTGTCACTGTATGAAAGCACTTTGAAAAGGGAAATCAACATACATTTAAGGTTGCTAACAATATTAAGTAGTGAACTGCATCTTCCAAGTAAGAAGGTTTAATAAATACCAAAATGTGCTTCCTTAATTAGTCATAAAATTAATAGGGTTCTTGGGGCAACCGTAACATGCCTGCCAGCCTGTTTACCTCTATGGGAGTCTCACAACATGGACAGCTCTTGGAGTTCTTTTTTAGCCACTCCTTACTTTCCATCTCTTCCAGTGCCTTCTGAATCACCCTCTTACCATACCTCTGTTCCAAAAGTCTTTTATTGGCCTCATCTGCTTGCAGGTACTCACTTCGTAAGTCTATTAATTTCTCTAGAAAGTGAAATGGAAAATTAACTTTTATACAACTTTGCAATGCTAATTAAAAACCATTAAAAATGTCCACAACCTTTGACTACTCAGTAATGTTACCCCAGGGACTTTATCATAAGGAAACAATCCAAAGTAAAGTTATGTGCATGGAAATGCATACAACAGTAGCAAAAGAATTAAATGTCCAAGGGAATAACTATGTGTGAAAGAGCCATTTAATAACATAATAGTCAGTTATTAAAAACTTATAATCAAGATGGCTACAACTCAATTAAAATATTCATTACAGAATCCAGAAAAAAAAACATATTTATGTTATAGCTAGGTAAAAGTTAAACATGCACAAATGACAAGGAACAAAAAGGAATCCTCCAGGAGGGGAGGGAAAAATGGCATAGATGATAGAAGCTTTGTTCATCCCTCCTGCAACCACATCAAAATTGTGATGGAAACACGGAGCAAATAGCAAGCAGTCGCCTGGGATCCAGATGAACAGAAACACTACAACTAGGGAGAGAAGTTAAGAAATCACCCTGCAACAGTAGAATGCAGGAGGGGATGAAGACACAAGGTTGCCCAGTCCTGAGCAGCTGAGTGGGGCAGAATCTGTGGCAGCCGCAGAGCGCAGCTGCAGCCACCACCTGAAGGGGCCATGTCCATGAGTAGACTTTCATTGTGACAGACTTGCTTACTCTGAGTACCAGTGCCCGGTCAGCTGCTGGGGGGAAGGCACTGGGACTTTCAGGGGGACACTAAGTTGTCAGAGCGAGGGCCAGAGGCAATGCTTTCTCCAGGGCAGAAGAGCTGGCAGTATCCACTGTTCCTCTGTCGAGCCCTTCCCTCTCCCAGTGTGCAGACTCAGCGCCACCATAGCTGAGACATCATCAGATTGGATAACAGAGGTCGCTCCACCCAAAGGATTCCTTGAAACTTTGCCTCCCCCAACTCGCAGTCCCACTCAAGCCACATCCAGTTGTGTCCTCAGGGAGTCAGGTGCTCCTTGCTGAGCCAACTCCAAGACCAACACAGGTAGAAGCTTGCCTCAATTTCTGGCATGGTTTCTTGAGGCAACTATAAGCACAGCATCTGTAGACTGCTTGCTGAATCTTAACAGGTGGCCCCAGAGGGCCACAGGCTAAACTTGGCCTGCAGCTGAACCCCTCTCAGGACTATGCCACTGGACACCTACTACACAAAGCCACACTAATAAGACCAGGAGACACAGGAGCTATGCTTAGTACATAGGAACTGACACAGAAAGGCAGCCAAAATGGGAAGACAAAGAAACAGAAACCATATGAGAGGACAGAACAGAGATCCAGAAATAATGGAGTCAAACAATCTAACAGATACAGAGTTCAAAACACTGGTTATAAACATGCTCAATGAACTTAGGGGAAGTAAAGATGAACTCAGTGAGAACTTTAACAAAGAGATAAAAAACATAAAAATGGAAATGGAAATTGTAAAAGGGAACTAACCAGTTAGAAATAAAGAATACATTATCTAATATGAAGAGTCTATTAGAGGGAATCAACAGAGTGGATAAAGAAGAGGATCGAATCATCAATATAGAGGATGGGGAAGCCAAGGACGCCCAATCAGAAGGGCAAGGAAAAAAAGCCAAAACTATAATAAAAATTTAAGGAGTCTATGGGATAAAATTAAATGTAAAAACATAGGGGTACTTGAAGGAGAACAAGAAGTTGAAGAACTATTTGAAGAAATAATGATGGAAAATTTCCCTAACCTGGTGAAAGAAATACACAAACCCAGAAAGCTCAGAGTCCCAAAAAAGATGAACCCAAAGAGGCCCACACCAAGACACACAATTAAAATGCCAAAGGTTAAATACAAAGAGAGAATCTTAAAAGCAACAAGAGAAAAGCCGTTATCTACAAGGGAGCTCCCATAATACTGGCAGCTGACTTCTCAAAAGAAACTACACAGGACAGAAGGGCTTGGCACAAAATATTTAACGTGATGAAAACCCAGGATCTACAACCAAGAATACTTTATACAGCAAAGCTATCATCTAGAGTCGAAGGACAGATAAAGAGCTTCCCAGACAAAAATAAGCTAAAGGAATTTATCAACAGCAAGCCAGTATTACCAGAAATGTTGGAGGGACTTCTTTAAGAAAAAATACATATCAAAAACATGAATAAAAAATGGTAATAATTACATTCCTATCAACAAGTACCTCAAATGGAAAAGAATTAAGTGCTCTAACCAAAAGATAGGGTGGCTGAATGGGTAAGAAAACAAGACTCCTACATATGCTGCCTACAAGCAACTCACTTCAGATTAAAAGACACACAGACTAAAAAGAAGGAGATGGAAAAAGATATTGCATTAAAGGACCTACAGGGTATTGCACTGAATGAGATGTCAGATAGAGAAAGACAACTAACTATCGCATGATTTCACATATATGTGGAATCTAAAGAACAAAATAAACAACAACAACAAAAACGGAAACAAACTCCTCAAAACAGAGAATATTTTGAGGGCTACTAGATGGGAAGGGGGTTGGAGGGGACAGTGAAAAAGAGCAAAGGGATTAAGAAGTACATATGGATAGTTACAAAATAGACATGGAGATACAAAGTGTAGCAAAATGAAAATAGTTAACAATGTGGTAATAAATATGGAAGGGCGAAGAGGGGCTCTAGATTTAGTGGGGTGATTACTTTGAGTTAAAAACTGATTTAACTAAAAAACCCAAAGGTTGAAACAGATATCAATTTTCCACTAAGTCAGCATCATTCACCAAGTTAATGACAAGGCCTACCAAATAAACAAAAGCACCTTTGGCTTAAGGACAAAAACTAACTGTTTAATTTGGTATATAAAAAAAAAAAAATCCAGTGAAGAAAATTTACCACCCACAAGGACTGAAAAGTTCTTCCTGCCAACTTTTCCCCTTGATACTCTTTAATCTGGTTTCTATTGCTTTATCATTTAACTCAAATGGAATAGGCAGCCATTCCCACAGCCTTTACTTATAGACAAAAGGCTTTTTTATTCACAATCTTATTACCTTAATCTTTCAGCATGACTAGAGACCTCTCCTACCAATGTTTTTGTCATTTTATTAGTTTACTTTCCTCATATTTAGAGCTCTGTCTCCCTTTTAATGCAGTGAACATTTTCTGGCATAGAATCCTATCTGCACTCTTCCTGTATCCTGTGAATCCTTTCTCTGCATTGTATATTACCAGGCTTTATGACCTCTGCCGAGATGTAGCAGACATGTATCTTTCTACGCTGTCATTTTTATCCCTTTAATAATTCAAAACATTTTTGTGTTCCTAGACATCTTAAGGACAAAGATTATTGCTTTAATGTTCTCAAAATAATAAGCTAGTACTTCAAATATTTTATATGGTAATATTTAACATATGTAAAAATATAGATACAAATAAAGAGATGCCAAATTTTCCTGAAGCCCCCAGCTCACCTTTGATTTCTTCCTCAAATGCTGTTAAACACCTGAAATGTACTCTAGCTTCTCAATGCTAAAGCTACAGAAACCTAAAAAATCGCTTATATTATGCTGTGGTGAGTTCTCCAATCCATCTGCCCAGTCCCACCTACAAGACTCTGCTCTAGGCAATTGGAAGTATCTATTCATTTTTCTCTCGGAGTACTTTCTTGGAGATAATGACATTCTGCTAACAGCAGCAATCAGTAACAAGAATAATAATGGCATTAATAGTTATCATTTTACATGTATGAGCCCATTGTTCTCAAATTATTTATGGTGAAGGACTAGTTTTTCTACTCTGTCGGGACAATCAAATAAATTATTAGAAAAATGAAAGTAAAAAGACAAAAAATATAAGCCCTAACTTTTATTTGATTTGACTGACCTTAAATTACTGTGGCATTGCTATAAAAGTTTCTAACCCTGACTCCCAATTTCTGTATTTATCATGTCACAGACCAGTATAACAGCTTTGAAAAGCACTACAATAGTTCATTTCATCCTTACAATAACCCTATAAAGTAGCTGTGATCATCATCTCTGTTATGAAAAAGACTTAAGTCACCAAACTCCAGTTAAATTGATGTCAAGGGCCTGGTTGCTCAATCCTTATCTAGCTCAGAAATGGCAAACAGGTTTCACTTCCTGTGCCTACCTCAGGAGAGGGTGGCTTTCTACAGCGCTGTGTTGAGGAAGATTTTGAAGCCTCCCTGGGCTCAAAGAGAAAGCACCTGATGACTGATCAGACGTATGTGCCACAGAAACAAGAGTGACAACTATGCATTTGTCAACGTGGATTTCATTACATTATTTCATGTTCACAGATAAAAATTACTGTGCCATTCCTCCCCTGGAATGTTCTCCCCTCATATCTGCATGGCGTGTTTCCTTACGTCCTTCAAGTTTACTCAAACCACTTTACCAACAAGGCCTCTCCTGGTTTCCCAAAGTAAATTCCCAAGGCCCTTCCCCTTCAAAACATTTCATATTCTCTCCATTTCATTTATTTTTTCCTCCTTACCACTAACCACCATCTCATACTCTTATTTTGTTTGCCTGTCTCCTCCATTAGAACGTAAATTCCAAGAGGGCATTTGGCCACTACCATATCCACAGAAACTAGGACAGTAACTGACACGAAAATATCTGTTGAATGAACACCTTCAAATTGAAAAACTGAAGTGATAAATTGTTTCTTTCTTTTTTGGGGGGGATGAGGTGGGATCAGGGTTGGGGGGACTGAGTTTGTCCAGTTACCACTTACCTGCAGTCACCTTACATGGAGAGACGCCATGGTAGGTCAATCTGCACAAGGTACAGAAGGCAAAATTGCAGCTGGAACAGATGCCCATGGTGCAGCCAGGCTCCTGCATGACAGGCAACTGGCAGCATGGGCGGGGGCAGTACACCACATCTGCCATCAGGTCCAAGGTAGACTGGAGAAGTAGCCGGTCATAACGGGCAAATAACTCTGCTTCCACTAGCTCTTTGACCTGGAGGAACATATTTTAAGACACAGAGGTTTGATGATTTCCCAACCAGTTCTGTTCCTGAGGAGATACTTAGGATGTGGATGCAAACCAGACGCACATAAATTAAGCCCCTCTACCTCACTTCAAAATCAAACCAAGTATAGCAAGTCTGTACCTTGACTGAGATGGTGTTTAATGGATCTACATTTGTCAAAACTAAGCAAACCATACACTTTAAATAGGTAAATGCCTTAATAAAGTTGATTAAAAAAAAAAAATTACACCAAGTAGGCTGTCTTTATGTTAAAGTCTGTAAACAACTCAGTTAACCATCCTAAGGGATATCCCTTTCAGATCTCAAACTCACACAAAGACAGGTTAGTGATTCTCCAAGGTTGATGGCATCCTAGTAAATTGATACAAAGTAAATCATCAAAATTACATCATACTTTCTCAACATTCACCCCTGCCAAGGACTGCCTATCCTGAGGCCAACAAAAGCATTTGTTTGCTTAAATGGTAAAGTAAGACCACAGCATTCTTGATAGATACAGTGAAACAACTGTGGGCTGGCTCCAAGGCCTCAGATTGCCCTGACGAGCCCCATCAAGGAAGTTCCTGAAAAGATGACTCCTTTTGTGAAAGAGAATTAGGACGCAGGTGTCAGCAGAGTAAAGAGTTACCTGACCAGGAGTGGCCACTGAAGGGCACTTAGGTTCTGGGCAGTTGAGGCATTGAACTTGGCCGTCTCTGATCTGGATTTCAAAGTAGTCCTTCAGACAGGCTTTGCAGTACACATGCCTGCACTCCAAGAAGTACATGCATTCACTACCCAGCTTCTCAGAGAAACAAATATTGCACAGGAACAATTTACTATTAAAGCATTTTATCTGCTGAGCTTGATCAAAGTCCAAGATTTCCTGGATCAGACTTGACAATGATTCCACATCCTGCACAGCTCTCTCATCCACAACCTCCTCTTGATCTACATCAGATCCAGCAGCACCTCCAAAATCTAGCTCTGTGTTGGCAGAGGCTTGAGCCGTCCTTCTCTGCACTTTTTTCTGAGAACCCATCTTGAGCTCAAAAGGAGAGACTATATTCAGGTACCCTAGGGTCTCTTCCTTAAGAAACTGCATCCAGGCAAACAGGACCACACTGCCACGGTGTTCTTCCCACAGGTTGTCTAAGTGCTTGCAGAGAGCAGACAGCTAGGAGAAAACACATGAGGATGCTGGTGAGTTTGGAAAGACCATGATACTATCAACTCATTTCCCTTGACATCTTTTTAACTTGTATGTTAGGCTCTCACACTTCCTAACATGATTTTTACTGCTGTGAAAAACTGTGTTGCAAAACAGCACTGATACTCTTATCAGAGCACTTCTTAAACTATTCAGCAACATAAGCCATAGTAGAACACAAAGTCAAAAGCTAAAAGAAGTACCAGGAAAACAAGAGAAATGGCACAATTTCACAAGATGTAGAACCAGATTTATGTATGCACTGCCGAATGGGGGGCTTTTTCTGTTCTTTAATTGTTCTTTGTGTTAATATTGCTATATACCTCATGTAGGAGAAAGAGAGCTAGCTCTAAAATGAACTATTTCTATTCCTTTGGAGTCCTAGCCCTGTAGGTACGCTGTAATAATGGTTAGAAAGAGAACAGTTTAAAATATCATTCGAGTTTTAAAATCAATTCTAACTTTCAGTCCTATCAAAAAGCCAGCTCATGTGAAAAGAAACACTAAAGGATCCAACCTCAGAGACCTTGTTATCCAGATTTACGAGCTGGTTCTAACTGAGCAATCCGAGTTTACCCTAGATCCTGGTTAATGGAGGCAGGCAGACTGATATTGAACAGGACATGATTTCAAGCCTTTGACATGGTCTGGTTGCCAAAGGGAAATTTCACAGTTTCTAAGCTAAACAACTGAAATTTAAACTATTTCAACTTTTCCTCCTTATAAGTAGTCTAATTCAAACTGAATGACAAATATTAGAAATGTGAAATATTTGCAAGCAGAGCTCAGGGATTAACACTAGCTTTTCTTTTTAGGTAAACATCAAAAAATAAGTCTTCCAGATGCAAATCCACTTTGTAAATTTAAATAACAAGTGAACAAGGACCACGTTTTCTGTTCCTTGCTGCTCACTCAGCCCTAACACAGACATGACCTTAAACACTAAATGACCAGTTCAAGATTGGAAACTAATGCTTTTCCACATTTGCATGAATATGCTCATAAGATCAACCACACTTTGAGAAACCTGCTGAAAGTTGTAAAATGGAATAAATACTAAAAGGGAAGCTTTGAGTTCTGGTTGAGCCACCAAATCCAATTAAGAAGCCATTCTCACCAACCTCTTTTCTTCTCCAGCCCCTTCTCAAAAGAGGCATCTGATACGCACATTGAGGAAAAGGGAGCTAGAAAGAGGAAAAGAGCGAGAGAGAGAGACTGGCGGGGGGCGGG